GAGACATAAGACTGAACAATGCAGAAGAGCTGAAGGCCGCTATTGAAGCATCCTGGTCTTCCATAACACTTCAGCAGTGCCACAGGCTGATAGCTTCCATGCCACGCCGCATTAAGGCAGTAATTGCTGCAAAAGGGGCCCAAACCAAGTATTGAGTACATATGCATGCTTATACTTTTCAGAGGTCCGATATTGTTCTATGTAAAATCCTTGTTTTATTGATTGCATGTAATATTCTAATTTTCTGAGATTGTGGGGTTTTCATGAGCTGTAAGCCATAATCATCACATATATGACAAATCACAGCTTGAACTATCTTGCCTTGCATGTAATGAGCCTATCTCATATATTAGTTTCACCTTTTAGTTGCATTACTGAAATAAATGAACTTTTGCACGATATTATAATTTTTCGAGTTTCACCTGTATATATGAGAGAAGTGCTGCATATGGAATTTAGGAATTTTGGTGGAGGCGAAGTATGTTTCCTGCAGGAAAAGTACGTTGGCATGTAGTGAGTGAGCTTCTTTCATGAGTAGGGACCTCTTATAAGGGGAGTTTAGGCCCCGGACATTTAGGGATGATAGATTAATCATTTTGTTGATTGTTGACTGGTTTTGATGAGTAGAAGAGTTGTTTCTTAGGTTGTTGAGTAAGGCGAGTTTTCTGTGGTCGAAGGTAGTGGTTTTCCACAAGTGTGGTAGTATGGTTTCGGTTTGGTCGCTGGATCTGAAGGTGTTTCCCATTGTGTGTTGGAGGTTTTAGTAGGGAAATGAATTGACTTGGTTGACTGGTGATGCAAGAGGGAAAGAAGGGTAAAAAGGGTAAAAAAAACTTGTGAAAAACACAAGTAACATGAGTAGCATGTCTTGCTACTTCGTAACAGAGAGGTATGAACAGGCATGACTTGTGGAAGAAGTCATGTTGAAAAATAACTTGAGACTTAGAAATAATCGATGAAGGGCCATGTGCCAGCAATTGGTGGATTGAGGGGCAGTGCCCAGGATAATGGGTATTTGGTGGTATGAGTAGTTGGTGGGTCAAGACCACTCTGCATCCATTTGCATCCATAACTGTGGATTGGTGGGAGTCCACAGGTATGATGTTCCAAGTTTTCAGGAGTTCGATGCCTGCTTCTAGATTTTTGATAGTGTAGATCTTTCCGTGGTGTTTGATGGTAAGCTTTGTGGGGAAGCCCCATTGGTAGCCGATTCCGTGGTTCCGCAGTGCTTTGGTTACAGTGACGAGTTTTTTTGCGGTTAAGGAGTGTGGCTTTAGATAAATCAGCGAATAATTTTATATTCGCGTGTGATGCTGGGACTGAAGTAAGATTTCTGGCGGCTGACATTATTTTCTCTTTTACGTGGTAAAAGTGTATGCGCACCAATATATCTCTGGGTATTGTGGCTGGCAGGAATGATGGCTTGGGTATTCTGTGTGCTCGATCTATGGCAAGCTCCACATCTGTGAGTGAAGGAATGAGGTACTTCATGTATTGTTGGATATATGGAACTATGGTATCATTGGTGATGGATTCAGGGATACCATAAAATTTAATGTTGTTGTGCCTGGAGCGGTCTTCTAGGTCCGGCAGTTTAAGATTCATTTGTTCGATATCAGCTTCATGGTCTGCGTGCGCATCAATCAGATCCTTATGCGCTGTAAACATTTCTCCCATTTTGTTCTCAATATGGTGTATACGGTGTTCTTGTTTTTGTACCACGCTTGAGATTTGGGATAGTGACAATGTCAAGTCGTTGTGCAGTGTTTGTCGCAGGGAAAGAAGCATGTTTTTCATGGAGATTTCAGTAATAGGTTGGTCAGAGGCAGGAAAGGATTCAATTATAGATGGAGTAGCATTGTTAGATAGCACATGTGGAAAGGAAGGCTGTCTGTCAGGAGTGGAGTCAGTTTCCAGTCTGGGCCTGGATTTAGCAGGGCTGCTGGTAGTAGGAGACAGGGGAGGAGAGGACTCACCCAGGTCTCCTGGGTATAGTGGTGCCTTGAGCCTGGGGTCCAGATGCTCTGTGGAGATGTCTCCCTCATAGGTGATGGGGCTGCTTATCATGCAGCTGGTACCATCTTGGCTGCATGTGGTGACAACAGGGAAGAAATTAGTGAGCTTCCCTGGCTGTCCAGGAGCTTTGCGGTGATGGGTCATGGTGTGCAGAGGGTTCCGTGACCCTTATCTCTTGTGCCAAGTACTTAATTTCCCCTGGGGTCAGAGTGAGCCTTGTCGGTGCTGGTGGGTGGACGGAGCTTATCTCGCAGCGCGTCCATCCCGGAGCCGGCCACGCATGCACCCTCTAATAAAGAGTTTTTAAACACATCTGACAACAATAGAAATCTTAAGGGCTGTTCAAGTCAAACCAGTACTTTTAATTTTACAGGTATAAAAATGGAAGCTAGCATGGTGGTACTACATAAATGGCAAATGTGTTCTATTCCTGATATGCAGCGCACATGTCATGGCCCAAGTCAGGGACTGTTAATCATGATGGCAGACAACAGTGTTAGTGTATGCTTGGAACAGTATGTGGTGATACATGTGATGAAACCTGAGGACATCATGTCACTCCAGAATACAAATAAGCATCAAAGCAGTGGAAGCATGCAGACTCACCACCACCAAAAACATTTAGAACAATTGTGTCTGCAGGTAAAGTGATGGCAAGTGTTTTTTGTGATAAATATGGCGTTATTCATGTGGATTTTTTTACCCGTGGTGTCGCTATCAACAGTGAATATTACTGTTGTGTTCTGAGTTATGTGCATACACATCTGCAGAAAAAAAACAGCCTGGTTTGATCACCAAGGGCATCCTGCTTCTCCAGGACAGCACACAAGCTCATATTGCACACCGCACTACGTGCACGTTACAGAAACTTAGCTGGTATTGCCACATCCTCCTTACAGACCAGACCTCACTCTGAGTGATTTCCACCTGATTGTCATAAGTGCAGAAATTCTTTTAGGGATCCAGAGTGAAGCAGGCTGTCCTAGGATGGTTCAAGTGTACTGACAAAAATCTTTATATGCCGAACCTTTCCAGGCATTAGTTAAATGCTGGGATAAGTATATAAATGTAGCAGGGGAGAATGTACAAAAATAAATGCAATTTGTTCTTTTATTATATAAACTCAATAGTCCTGGTTTGACATGAAAGCCTCTCGCATAGCAACTCCATAAAATTTTGAGGTCAGTTCAGCAATGCTAACTTAATCTAGATAAGATGTTTTTTAACCTGAAATTAAAATGGAAACACTGCATGGGGGTAATCTAAATTTTCAGCCTATAAGGCAGACAAAGATAGTAGTTTTAAAAGTTTATCTACACTTTTGTTCCCTTAGCTTAGTAAACTGGTTGGGGGTATGACCACTTTAAGCACTCAATCATTTGCAAGAGAAGTTACAAAAATTTGAGGTTTTGCTGATACATTTCTGAATAATTAAAGTGCAGCTCTACCTGATTCAAGCATGAACATTCATTTTGCAAAGTCAACATTTACATTGTACTTTGCAAAGTAAAATATCCCTTTTGTATTTCTTCCTCATAATTTTTGGTAACTCAAACAGGTAACAATTTAGCTCAATGCATTAACTCTGACTCATTTTCTCATTTTCCCATTTTACTTTAGGTTTGAGGTTGGGATTTGAGACTATGATGATTTTGAGGCTATGATGGGTTTGTGACAGTTCAATTTAGTTTAAAATTAGCAGTCCAAGTGAATTCATGCATAAATTCACCAGAACAAGTTCTTTGTAATCATGATGTACTGTATGGCCTTTGAACTACAGCCACCTGGCTTAGAAAGGCCAATATAGGGAACATTTGGATAAACATAAGCTTTAAAGGCTGAGGTCATAGCAGCCATCAATCAACAATGTGCACTCTGAAAAAAAAAATATGCATGTTCCTTATGTTGCAGTACTAGGATACATTTCTATGTCTGTCCTTGTATTTTCCAATCTGTACACCCAAAAATCATTTTAATGACTGATATCTGTCCTCAACAACAGATTGATAGCTAGCCCTTGCATTGTTGACATCAAAGCAAACTTTTTCTATTAATTATTGTATTTTCCTATTCCTATCAGCTTGGGGTGATAAAAACACATCAGACAGTTGTTGCTCACAGTCCATTCAAGAGCTGCCTTTCTTGTAACACCTCACTCACAAGTCCTTTGGTGTTTTGGGTACACATTTTATTCACATTTTTTCAGACACCTTGACCCCAGCCACAACCCTTTTCGGTATTCTCATATTCTAATCCCCTGAACTCATTATAGATTGGTGATCATCTAACCCAGCGGTTCTCAACCTGGGGGTCGCGACCCCTTTGGGGGTCGAACGACGCTTCCACAGGGTCGCCTAAGACCATCGGAAAACACATATTTCCGATGGTCTTAGGAACCGAGACACCGCTCCTCGCCGCCGCCGCCGCCACCGCCGTCTCCAGGTGTGGGCGGGATGACATGCCGCCCCTGTCATCTGGACACACCTCGAGATCAATCCTCGCCTGTGATTGGCCGCCGGCACTGTAGCTCAGGAGAGGCACACAGGTGGCCAATCACCGGCAAGGAGGTGGAGCTTGGAGAGGAGGAGCCGAGCGGCACCACGAAGATCGAGCGAGTGAAGAGGAGGAGAGCGGCCGGAGAAGGAAGACATCTGACAGGTAAGTGTCGGTACCATGGGAGAGGGAGGGAGCGAGCGAGCCCAGGCTGGAGCAGGGGTCTGCAAGGTAAGTATCATTGGTGTCAGTGGGAATAGTGCCCCATCATTGGTGTCACTAATACCAATGATGGGGCACTATTCCTCCCACTGACACCAATGATGGGGCACTATTCCTCCCACTGACACCAAGATGGGGCACTATTCCTCCCCCCACTGACACCAACGATGAGGCACGATTACCCCCCAAATGACACCAACGATGGGGCACTATTCCTCCCCCACTGATACCAAGGATGGGGCACGATTCCTCCCCCACTGACACCAAGGATGGGGCACAATTCCTCCCCCCACTGACACCAAGGATGGGGCACTATTCCTCCCCCCACTGACACCAAGGATGGGGCACTATTCCTCTCCCCACTGACACCAAGGATGGGGCACTATTCCTCCCCCCACTGACACCAAGGATGGGGCACTATTCCTCCCCCCACTGACACCAAGGATGGGGCACTATTCCTCCCCCCACTGACACCAAGGATGGGGCACTATTCCTCACCCCCACTGACACCTATGATGGGGCACTATTCCCCCCACTGACACCTATGATGGGGCATTATTCCCCCCACTGACACCAATGATGGGGCACTATTCCCCCCACTGACACCTATGATGGGGCACTATTCCTCCCCCACTGACACCAATGATGATGGGGCACTATTCCTCCTCCCACTGACACCAATGATGGGGCACTATTCCTCCCACTGACAGCAATGATGGGGCACTATTCCTCCCACTGATACCAATGATGAGGAACTATTCCTCCCACTGACACCGATGATGGGGCACTATTCCTCCCACTGACACAGATGATGGGGCACTATTCCTCCCACTGATACCGATGATGGGGCACTGTTCCTCCCACTGATACCGATGATGGGGGCACTATTCCTCCCACTGACACCGATGACGGGGCACTATTCCTCCCACTGACACCGATGACGGGGCACTATTCCTCCCACTGATACCGATGACGGGGCACTATTCCTCACACTGATACCGATGACGAGGCACTATTCCTCCCACTGACACCGATGACGAGGCACTATTCCTCCCACTGACACCAATGACGGGGCACTATTCCTCCCACTGATACCAATGACGGGGCACTATTCCTCCCACTGATACCAATGACGGGGCACTATTCCTCCTCCCACTGATACCAATGACGGGGCACTATTCCTCCCCCCACTGATACCAATGATGGGGCACTATTCCTCCCACTGATACCAACGATGGGGCACTATTCCTCCCACTGATACCAATGATGGAACACTATTCCCCCCCACTGATACCAATGATGGGGCACTATTCCTCCCACTGACACCAATGATGGGGCACTATTCCTCCCACTGATACCAATGATGGGGCACTATTCCTCCCACTGATACCAATGATGGGGCACTATTCCTCCCACTGATACCAATGATGAGGCACTATTCCTCCCACTGACACCTATGATGGGGCACTATTCCCCCCCACTGACACCAATGATGGGGCACTATTCCTCCCCCCACTGACACCAATGATGGGGCACTATTCCTCCTCCCACTGACACCGATGATGGGGCACTATTCCTCCTCCCACTGACACCTATGATGGGGCACTATTCCTCCTCCCACTGACACCGATGATGGGGCACTATTCCTCCTCCCACTGACACCTATGATGGGGCACTATTCCTCCCACTGATACCGATGATGGGACACTATTCCTCCCACTGATACCAATGATGAGGCACTATTCCTCCCACTGACACCGATGATGGGGCACTATTCCTCCCACTGACACCGATGATGGGGCACTATTCCTCCCACTGACACCGATGACGGAGCACTATTCCTCACACTGACACCGATGACGAGGCACTATTCCTCCCCACTGACACCAATGACGGGGCACTATTCCTCCCACTGACACCAATGATGGGACACTATTCCCCCCCACTGATACCAAATGATGGGGCACTATTCCTCCCACTGACACCAATGATTGGGCACTATTCCTCCCACTGATACCAATGATGGGACACTATTCCTCCCACTGATACCAATGATGGGGCACTATTCCCCCCCACTGACACCAATGATGGGGCACTATTCCCCCACTGATACCAATGATGAGGCACTATTCCTCCCACTGATACCAATGATGGGGCACTATTCCTCCCACTGACACCAATGATGGGACACTATTCCTCACACTGACACCAATGACGGGGCACTATTCCTACCACTGATACCAATGACGGGGCACTATTCCTCCCACTGACACCAATGACGGGGCACTATTCCTCCCACTGACACCAATGACGGGGCACTATTCCTCCCACTGACACCAATGACAGGGCACTATTCCTCCCACTGACACCAATGACGGGGCACTATTCCTCCCACTGACACCAATGACGGGGCACTATTCCTCCCACTGACACCAATGAAGGGGGCACTATTCCTCCCACTGACACCAATGACGGGGCACTATTCTTCCCACTGATACCAATGATGGGGAACTATTCCTCCCAATGACACCAATGACGTGGCACTATTCCTCACTACTGCAAAATTACAGTTATGAAGTAGCAACGAAAATAATTTTATGGTTGGGGGTCACCACAACATGAGGAACTGTATTAAGGGGTCGCGGCGCTAGAAAGGTTGAGAACCACTGATCTAACCCCTTATGTTGCTGGCTGATCACCTACAAACATCAATTATTTTTCACAAATTGAAGATGTCAAGCATATTAATACATACATGCAAAGATAATTACAAATAACTCAAAATTTGAAAATAAATCACATATATTGACCATATGTTTATTAAAACAGCAGTGTAAAAACCCTAGCCTGTGAATTAAAAACATTTACACAAATGTTTAGACTTGTTTAGGATACATGTCTGTTCTCATAACTGTACATCAGGTACAAGATGGTAATAAAATACCATATAAATAAAAAAATAACCACCATACATATAAAATATGCATTATGACAACAAGGTATCTTTTGTCCTTGGAGATTTTAACATCCCCATTAATGTTAACAACCCAGCTACATCCCAACTCTTCAACATAACCTCATCTTTTGCCTTAACACAATGGACACAGTCCTCCACTCACTCTGCTGGGAATACATTAGACTTTGTTTTCTCCCATCTTTGCACTCCCTACAACCTCACAAACACCGCCTTTCCTCTCTATGACCACAATCTCATCACCTTCACAGTTTCCTCAAACTTCCAGTCTTCAAACACCTATCCCTCCAAGCAGCAAACAATTACCCACAGAAACCTTCACAACTTTAACTCTTCTCTTTTACACTCTGCAAATGATCGCCTCTATGACAGAATCTCTCCCCTGGCCTGCCCTGACCTGGCCACTTCTGTCTACAACAGTTTCTCTTTCATCCACACTAGACTTACTTGCTCCTCTAACTACATAAAGTATCAGGTCCCAACATTATAATTGTGGCAGACTGACAACACCAGAAATCTTAAGAGACATAGCCATGCACTGGAGTGATTATGGCATAAAAAACAAATCTCAGCAAGCATTCACCCTATATAAATCTGCTTTCTTAACATACATTTCCTCCCTCCATGCTGCCAAACAAGCCTACTTTGTCACTCTTATTAATTCCTTGTCATCCAGTCCTCATCGTACTCTTCTCTACTTTTAACTCTCTACTTTCTCCACCTCCGTCTCCACCCAGTAACTCACTCACTGCTTACGAGATTGCAAATCATTTCAAAAACAAGATTTACGCAATTCGTAGGGGCATTTCCAGTGCACAGACATCTATCCCACTTAGCATACCTTATACTAAACCTCCCTCAACACTTTCCTCTTTTAACCTTGCTACTACTGAAGAGGTCACTAAAGTTTTCTCAGAAGCCCATCTCACCACCTGCCCCCTGGATCCTGTCCCCTCACAACTACTACGGTTGCCCTCTTCTTCTGTCCTATGCTCCCTCACATCTGCAATCCCTCCCTCTCTAATGGTACCTTCCACACCCCTCTAAAGCATGCACACATCATTCCCATACTTAAAAAGCCCTCGCTGGACCCCACCAACCTGAACAACTTAAGACCCATCTCCCTGTTCCCGTTTACCTCTAAACTCTTAGAACGCTTAGTCTACAATCTCCTGAGCTCCTACCTCACTGACAATGACCTTCTTGACCCTTTACAGTCTGGCTTTCACTCACTCCACTCCACTGAAACTACCCTACTAAAACTCACTAATGATTTACTAACTGCTAAAACCAATGGCCACTACTCTATACTCTTACTACTTGACCTCACTGCAGCTTTTGATACTGTTGACCATTCCCTCCTCAAAAAAAAAAAACTCCACTCTCTTGGCCTCCGAGACTCTGCTCTCTCCTGATTCTCCTCCTACCTATTGCAGCGCTCCCTCAGTGTTATACAGTCATGGCCGAAATTGTTGGCACCCTTGATATTTTTCCTGAAAATCAAGTATCATTCACACAAAAAAAGGTATTGCATTAACACATGTTTTGCTATACACATGTTTATTCCCTTTGTATGTATTGGAACAAATATAAAACAGAGGCAGAAAAGCAAATATGACTTTAATGTCACACAAAACCCCAAAAATGGGCTGGACAAAAGTATTGGCACCTTAACTTAATATTTGGTTGCACACCCTTTGGAAAACATAACTGAAATCAGTTCGCTTCCTATAACCATCAATAAGCTTCTGACACCTCCTCACCCGGAATTTTGGACCACTCTTCCTTGCAAACAGCTCCAGGTCTCTCTTATTGGAAGGACATAAAACCTTTTTCCCAACAGCAATTTTAAGATCTCTCCACAGGTGTTCTGGGCTCATTGCTGGCCACTTCAGAACTCTCCAGCGCTTCTTTTGCCATCCATTTCTGAGTGCTTTTTGACGTATGTTTGGGGTCATTGTCCTGCTGGAAGACCCAGGATCTTGGACGCAAACCCCTTTCTGACACTTGGGCCCTACAGTGCGACCCAAAATCCTTTGGTAATCCTCAGATTTCATGATGCCTTGCACTCACAGTCAAGGCACCCAGTGCCAGAGGCAGCAAAACAACCCAAAACATCATTGAACCTCCACCATATTTTTACCGTAGGTACTGTGTTTTGTTCTTTGTAGGCCTCATTCGTTTTCGGTAAACAGTAGAATGATGTGCTTTACCGAAAAGCTCTATCTTGGTCTCATCTTCCCACAAGACGTTTTCCCAGAAGGCTTTTGGCTTACTCAAGTACCATTTTGGCAACTGTAGTCTTGCTTTTTTATGTCTCTGCATGTACAGCAGTGGGGTCCTCCTGGGTTCTCCTGCCATAGCGTTTCATTTCATTTAAATGTCGACGGATAGTTCGCGCTGACACTGATGCTCCCTGAGCCTGCAGGACAGCTTGAATGTCTTTGGAACATGTTTGGGGCTGCTTATCCACCATCCGGACTATTCTGCGTTGCAATCTTTCATCAATTTTCCTCATCCGTCCACGACCAGGGAGATTAGCTACAGTGCCATGGGTTGCAAACTTCTTGATAATGTTGCGCACTGTGGACAAAGGCAAATCTAGTTCTCTGGAGATGGACTTGTAACCTTGAGATTGTTGATATTTTGCCACAATTTTGGTTCTCAGGTCCTCAGACATCTCGTCTCCTCTTTCTGTTGTCCATGCTTAGTGTGGGCAACAGACAGACCACAAATGCAAAGGTTAAGTGAACGTCTCTCCTTTTTATCTGCTTTCAGGTGTGATTTCTATATTGCCCACACCTGTTACTTGCCCCAGGTGAGTTTACAGGAGCATCACATGCTTGTAACATTCTTATTTATCCGCAGTTGTGAAAGGGTGCCAATACTTTTGTCCAGCCCATTTTTGGAGGTTTGTGTGACATTATGTCGAATTTGCTTTCTTTCCTCCCTTTTTTTGTTTTGTCCCAATACACACAAAGGGAATAAACATGTGTATAGCAAAACATGTGTTAATGCTATACGTTTCGTGAGAAATACATGATTTCCTGGAGAAATATCAAGGGTGCCAACAATTTCGGCCATGACTGTATATACTCAGTCTCCTCCTCTCCACTTCCTCTTTCTGTAGCGGTCCCTCAAGGTTCTGTCCTTGGACCCCTTCTCTTCTTCATCTACACCTCCTCCCTTGGTCACTTGATAAACTCCCATGGCTTTAGGTACCATCTCTATTCTGATGACACACAAATTTATTTTTCTACTCCTCACCTCACCCTTCAGTCTCCTCTCGCATTACTAACCTACTAAGTGACATATCGGCATGGATGTCACTCCACTTCCTCAAACTCATTCTTTCTAAAACTGAGCTCATACTATTCCCTCCAGCCTGTGCCCCCTCCCCTGACTTCTCCATCAAGATCAATAATACAACCGTCAGTCCCTCCCCTCTTGCCAGGGAACTAGGTGTAATCCTAGACTCCCATCTGTCCTTTCACCCCAAATCTAATCACTGTCCAAATCTTGTAGACTTCCCCTCCACAACATCTCCAAGATACGCCCGTTTTTAACCTCTGAAACTACTAAGCAACTTATTCACTCCCTGGTTATCTCTCTCCTTGACTATTGTAACTCCCTCCTCATTGACCTACCTAATCGCAGGCTATCCCTTCTTCAGTCTAACATGAATGCTGCTGCCAGACTCATCCACCTTACTAATCATTCCATATCTGCCTTCCCTCTCTGCCAATCTCTCCACTGGCTTCCCATTGCCCAACAAATAAAATTAAAAACATTAACAATAACATATAAAACCATTTATAACTTTGCTCCAAATTACATCACCAATCTTGTCTCCAAATATCACCCAAACCATCCTCTTTGCTCCTCCTACAGCTCCTGCTCTTTAGCTCCCTTGTCTCCTCCTCCCATGCTCATCTCCAGGACTTCTCCCCATCCTCTGGAACTCTCTACCCCAATATATCAGACTATCGCCTACTCTGCCCACTTTTGCAATCTCTGAAAACCTCTCTCTTCAGAGAAGCCTATCCTGCCTTCAGCTAATAACGGAATCTTCTATGCCTCCTACTAGTCCATCTCCTACAGTTATTGCCTTTTGTACCACTAGCCCCTCCCTCTTAGATTGGATGATCCAACGAGCAGAACCCTCCTAACCCTCTTGTATTGCACTGTATTGTTGCTGTATTGTCTCACTGTATAT